TAAAGGGATTTAAAAGCCACGTGGATGGGCACTTGGGGACTTGGGTCAGTGGTGGTCTTGGTAGTTCTGAGGGAATGACTGGACTTGATGACCTCAGAGGTCTTTTCCAACCTCAGCAATTCCATGATTCTGTGAGTCTGTGCTTCCTACAGCTCCACAGCCTGTCTCACTACCACACAAGGGTCTGGATGGACACAGAAAGCAAATTCCTGTGCTGAAAAGAGGGAATTTCAACCCAGGGAGTTCAGTGTCCCTGTTCTCCACGAAGAAAAGGCACCGAGTGCTTACTAACCCTTCCTGCGCATCCCTGCCAAGCTCCAACCGCTGCCGGAGGGGACAGGGAATGGAGAGGATCATTTGAGAGCTGGAGAGATCCCAGTGAAAGGCAAAGAGGCAGAAAAGTGACCCCGAGAGAGCTCCCCGGGGCAAGCACAGCCTACACAGGGACACCAGCATCTCGTAGTTGCCTTCCATGACGCTCCGGTAGAGCTCCCGCTGTCCCTCGTCCAGCGTGTCCCACTCCTGCCGGCTGAACCGCACCGCCACCTCCTCGAACCGCACCGGCACCTGCGGCAGGGCTGCCATGTGGGAGAGGGCAGCTCCCAGACCCTCAGACACCCCCCCTCTGACCTCCAACAGCCCCAAAAGCAGCCCCTCAAAAGTCCCCCTGAGGAGTGCCCCGTGCTTATTCCCATTCCCATAAAGATCCCCCCTCCCAGTGGCTCACGGGATTCACCCCCGGTCTGCCGAGACCCAGCGGAGTCCCCTCCGAAGACACTCCCCAGCCCCCAGCCCCGTGGGCAGCCCCCCAGATTCACCCTCAGTCCCCTGAGGAGCCCCCCAAACCGCTCCCAAACCCTAAACAGCCCCACAGGCTCCTCCACCCAGGGCCCCACTCAACTTCCCACCATGCCCAAAGTGACTCTGGGCTCACTCCCACCCCCCAAGCAACCCCTCAGCCCCACAATAGCCCCGTTAAGTGCCCTCCCGACCCAAATCCATCACTCCTCGACACCCACCACCCCTCAAAGTTCCCCCCAGCTCGCCTCCAGCCCCCACAATGGTCCAT